TTTACGGGCCACACCCGAACAATTTGCGCTCCAAGAAACTTGATATTTAAAGTGGCTTAGCGCTGAGTAAATAAGGTGTGAGGTATTTCCCACAATTTCGCTCAACTTGTGCCCAAGAAGGGGATTTTTCTGATGATTATACAGTGGTTTTCAGGCCCAAGTGGTGATGTGATGATATAATTGCTCCTACGTGGAACTAAATTGTTGGTGCTCTGCATCCTGTGGACGTAGAGTGAACACTGATGAGTAGCGAGAAACCCTTGAACTTGCACCCTGTTTGCTCTAATATTTACTGTTGCCCAAATTTGGATGCCCAGATCCTTCTATCTGTGTTCGGTTTCCAGGGCAGCTCTGAGGAAGTTGTCTTCTGCTTCCTGTTGAGCCTTTTTCATGGTCCAAACTTGACCCCGAACATTTTTTTCCTTGTACGAGTCAGTGTGTGTCCCCTGGTTGGCTTTTGTCTTCTGAGAGCTGTGAAGGTTGGTCCTTCATCCAAATAAAGTGTTCTGCTATGCAGCCTGCACTGCTGCTCTGCTCTGCTTGGAGATTCCACCACCGGCAAACAGAGCCAGGATCCTCTGCCAGGTGGCCCAGGTCCACACCCCAGGGTAATGCTTGGGTGAGCCTGTGTAGTGACAGCAGTGAATAGAAGGCTTCTGATCTCTCAAAAATGAGAAGCCTGCTCTTCCCACAAACTTGGAACCCCACTTTTCTACCATTATTTAAAAACATTGGTCTGGGGATGTAGCTCAGTGGTAGAGTACTTGCTTAGCATGCATAAGGATCTAGATTCAAGTTCAATCCCCATATTTAAATATATATGTACATATATATATATATATATATATATATATAATATTTATTTATTTTGTGTTTTCTATGTACCCAGCCCAGTATACAGTGGGAAATAAGTGTGGCAAGGCTTTTGCCTCTAAGGAACTTCCATTCTTCCAGGGCTAGTCAGAAACTCACCAAGTAAACAGGTTCCATGACTTCAGCTTGCAGAAACAAAGTCTTGAGCCTACCCTAAAATAAAAATAATAGCATAAGATAGGATAGGATAGGATAGGATAGGATAGGA